AGTAAAAAGCCTCTTTATGTGCATAGGGGACACTGTAGGAGGCTGATACCAATTTTTTTGACCTTATGTTTGGTTGGGGGATTTGCGAAGGAATTTAGGAAGGGAAAATGATAAGGGATTACATAGATGGAGAGCACTTCTAAAGCTTGCTAGACTCAACAGGGGTGGATAGAGTTGCAGATTAAGGTGGCTATCTCTGGCCCGATATCAAGAGAGGAAAGTTTTCCAATGAAGAAAAGCAAGTCATCATCAACCGCTGGAAACAAGTAATAAATCTTTCTCACCTCACATATCCAAGGGCGGACCTAGGACTGGGCATAGGTGGCTGCAGCCCAGCCCAAAATTTAAAAAATCTGTACAATTTTTTTTCCCAGCCCAGCCCCACCCCGTCCCAAATAACGGCCAATAGTTTTTTTTGTTTGTTTTTTAGATAGGCAGCCCAATAGCAACCCAATACTTATCCTAAAAAATAGATAGGCAGCCCAATAGGTTTGTATTTGTTTAAAGAACAAATCTTCCAAAACAATCCTCACATCTTCCAATAGATAGGCAGCGACCCTCTCTCCGTCGTCTCCAGCAGCCTACAGTAGCTCTACTTTCCTAACATTTTTTTGTAAGTGTAATTAACCAATTATTTTATTTCGTTGCTTGAGAATGGATTTGATTAACAATGGTTTTGAAATTTTGTCTTTATGCGACAAATATTATGTTGCTCTTAGTTTTTTTATGATGCTGCCTTGTTCAATGTTCTATATTGCTCTTAGTTTTTGAACTTTGAAGGAGTTTTTTTGGACATGTATAATATATAAAAATAATGAAAGCCTAAATAAAAATTATTGAGGATATATATAAAAACCCTAATATTTAAAATTATTGCGAATATACTCTGGTTTAATATTAATAAGGCTAATTTATTTTTTTATTTTTTATTTTTAGGTTATAAATAATGGAACCTCCACTGCTTAAAAAAGGCAAAACCCTTTTTCCCATTCTATCAATCAAAACAGAAGTCTAGTAGTACAACATCCAATGTTGTTGAAACCTCATTTTCTGATGTGCAACCGCCTTCCATGCCTCAAGCAAATAAACCAAGCGAATTTGATTCAACTGTTATTGAAAATTGATCTAGATTTCTGTAATCGATGAATTCGAATCTTTAAAGACTCGTCGAGCACAACTTAGTTAGATTGTTTCTAATCAATAAATTTAGATATTAATATAGATTATATTATTAAATTCTCTTTTTTCTTATGTAGTTATACTTAAAATATATTGTATAATTTTGCCTTAATATTAGTCCACCCCATCAACAAATCCTAGGCCCACCCTTGCACATATCCATATAGGAAAATGATATACAAAATCACTTTTTAGACCCTTTTTTTACACAACTCTGACGTGTAAGTGATATAATTGGTTGATTTAATATCCTAATTGATTGACACAGGATTTGAAATTTAAATCTAATTTTTAATCTCGAATAATAATGTTCATCCATATATATATATATATATGGAAAATTCCTAATCCTAATCAGAAGGAGATCCACAGCTGTGGAAGAAACCAGAAACCTCAACTATAGCAAGGGAGGTCACCAGAGACCTCATTCATTTTCGGTGGAGGTCATATGAAAGTTTAACTAGAAGGGAACAGACAAAGTGGTGTCGACATTTGATTTTCATAAATTAATCAAACCAATTTTTGGACTCTATTTTGGCTGATTTCACGATCTGAATATGATATTGATGGTTATTTCATGACTATTAGTGGAAGTGGCCAGAAACCGCAACTATAGCAGGGGAGGTCACCGGAAACCTCATTAATTTTCGTGGAGGTCATAGGAAGGTTTAACTAGAAGGGAATGGACCGGAAAGTGGTTGATTTCACGGTCTGAATATAATATTGATGGTTATTTCATGATTTTCATTTTGCTTGTGGGATCTTTACGTCTATGGTGAAGAAGTCTGGTAGAACTGATAACAAAATGATGACAGTGATTGCCATAAAACTGGGTTTAGCCGTAAAGAATTTAATCACCAAGTGGGGTGGTGATACCCTCCATATCCCCAAAAAAAAACAAACAAAAGGACAGCCTGAGCATGTATCAAGAACTTCATAGTATATATACAACGAACAATACCAAGAAATCATCAAAAATTGATACAATTAATTTTGCAGAGAGAGAGAGAGAGATTACTATTATGAAGTGGCCAAGACACTCCTGTTGTAAAGCCATGTGTGCTGGGCAGGCACCGCAGAGGTAGAAACGAGTAAGTGGAGTTTCATCAAAGTAAATAAGAAATACCATACCCATTGTTGTGTCAAAGAAACTTCTCTGAAAAGAGCAATTCTTATATCTCTCAAGAAAACTAATTAGCTTTTTTTTTTTCCTTTTCTAAGCACTGAAATTTGTTAGAGAAAAAAGATTGGTCTCTTATATGGATTATTACCATTTTTGTACGTGAATTATTTATAAAAAAAAATCCGTTATGATTATATTTTTATACTCAATCATATTATTACCATTTTTGTAAGTGAAAACTAATTAGCTTTTTTTTTCCTTTTCTAAAAGCACTGAAATTTGTTAGAGAAAAAAGATTGGTCTCTTATATGGATTATTACCATTTTTGTACGTGAATTATTTATTAAAAAAATCCGTTATGGTTATATTTTTATACTCAATCATATTATTACCATTTTTGTAAGTGAATTATTTATAAAAAAAATCCGTTATGATTATATTTTTATACTCAATCATATTATTACCATTTTTGTAAGTGAATTAATTAATGATATATATATTTGATGTTAGTAAAAAATGATCCATGTAATAGTGATATTATTTATTTATTTTTTTATTATTATTTTGGTATGTAGATGAAAATCAATATTGTACTTTATTTATTGAAAATTACATATTCTTTATCCCCAAAAATTAAAACCATGAATCCATCCATCCCATCACCACCACCTTCTCTGTCTTTTCTTATTTTTTCCGATCACAGTCTCTACATCAAAACACCAACCACTCTACTTGTTAGTTTATTTTATTTGATAATTTTGCCTCTAATTCGATGAGGTCCACCCTACTTTTTAGTTTATTTTATTTGATAATTTTGCTTCTAATTCGAAGAGGTTAATGGGTATGGATATTCATGTTAACTGGCGGTGGTAAGATATTCGTTCCAATACATTACATTTGCCATATGTATAGGTTTCGTTTGGCAGATAGACCAATTTGATTTTTTTGATTAAATTAGTTATAAAAAAATCTGTTTTAAGCAATTTTGTTTAAATTTTAGATACACTTAAGATATTTATAAAGATTAATTAGATACAAAAAAATTTTAGAGTATATTTATAATATTAAGTTTATATTTATTGCTTAATATACACTAAAAAATCTTTAGAGTATATTTAGAAAATAAAAATTAAGCAATAATCTTTAGAGTAATATTTAGAATAATCTTTAGAGTATATTTAGAAAATAAGATTATTTCTTGAAAATAAAAATTCAAGCAATAATCTTTAGAATCTGTATCTAAAATTTAAGCAATAATCTTTAGAGTATTTTTTTAACCAATTTGATTTTTATAAAGATGTTTTTATAAAATTTAAGCAATAATATTTATAAAGGTTAATTAGATACAAACTAAAAAAATTTCTAAAGATTTTTTGGATTCTAAGCAATTTTGTTTAAATTTTAGATGCACTTAATATAAATACATTTAAAAAGTATAATATTTATGAAAAACATCTTTAGAAAATTCACTAAATATTAAAAATACAAAAAAATACGAGAATTTAGTATATTTTTCATATTTTGTGTATTTATTGATTTTTTTAAAACGTACCATCTTTCAAACAGATGAACCCAGTTGAATTTAATCATGGTTTAAGAGTGATTTGGGAAGTGACTTTTTTAATAATTTTTTGATATTTTAATTAAAATATGAGGTGAAAAAAATTAAAATATTTAGAAATAATTTTTTGACTTTCCGCAATTACTTTCTATTATTTGTTCTTCTTTTTTTTTTTCTTCTTTTTCCTATGCGATGCAAAATAAGGATTTTGAACATGTGAGTTTGGATAGAGAGAAATTAGGGGAATGTTAGTGAGAAAATTGCAAACTAAAAGATTAGAATTTCGTAAATTGTCTGTTAAATTGCACGACATGAATAATAGAAATGGAACAGGCTAAAAGATCCACCCAAAAAAAAGGAAAAGGCTAAAAGAAATTTGACAACTCTTTTAGGCATATGCATAGCTTCAAATGAAGTACTACTCTTAAAGTTCACATAGAATGAAACATGTGGAGGACACCTTCCAAATAAAGAGTCCCAAAGAAATTTTATACTGTTAAATTGTGCTTTTACGCATTTAAGATTTTTATTATATTTTTCAGAAGAATCACATACTGAATTGAGTTTAATAAAATTAGTTCAAAAGTTTTAGAAAAAGCATGTATTCAACTTAAAAGTGAAGATCTAAAATATAAATAAGAAAATGAGGCAACATATGAGCAAACATGCTTGGGTGTAAAACTGAGTTTGCCTTGTTGCCATAGGCATTAATTCTGGAGGTTTCGGTATTGCTTTTTTTTTTCTTTTTTTTTTTTTCTTTTTTGGGTATGGGGATTTTGGTATTGCTTTTCTAGCTGTTTCACGGGGTTTCATCGTTACAGTTGATGCTTCTTTTTGTTGGGATTCAACACTTGGGGTGACTAAAGTTTTTTGCTTGTAACATATCTTTACTTCACTTCTATTGTTTATTTACCTTATTTATTTGCATATCCCAAGTTGTTAAGACTTTATTTGGATCTTAGATTCTTGGAAGGGTAAAAAACAAGTGAATGAAATAGAATCAAAATCTCATCTTTTTATTTTTCCTTTTTTTATTTATTTTTTGAATTTTCTCTTTCTTTTTCTTTCCTCACAAATTTGGGATCCAAACAAGCATGCCCATGACCAAACAAATTTTTTTTTTGGAGGACCGTCCATCTCTACTAATTCAGTGTCATTTGCAACTTCAATTTTTTGTGTGCTAATTGCTTAGAAGATCTGTTTCGATTCGATTCGATTCATTTAAAACTTTGCAACTTTAACTATGCTGTTTGTTTTTTTTTTTGTTTTTTTTTTTTGCGAAGACTATCCAAATATTTTAATCATTCATTTTATAAAGACATTGAAACCCAGCAGGTCAGCTTGTGAAAAGCCACTCAACAAACTCACTTATAAACTTACACGTTAGCCCACCAAAATATAAAAATAGTTGTGATGGAATGGAATCCCTCACCTCACTCTTTATGACAAAATATTATTTTTCAATTGTAAAATGTGCTATGTGCCAATTTGTAAATTTTCTTCAATTTTATACATATTTAAAAAAAATAAAAAATAAAAAAACTGAAATGTTTCAAATTTAGACCATCAGCCCATCGGCCTGGGCCAAGCTTGCTGGACAGGACCTGGGTTTACATTTTAGGCCCAAGGCCAGCCCACGTACAGACTTAAAACAAGAAGGTAGTGGGTAAAAAACATAGAAAAGAAAAGAACGAAGGGGGTTCTGAGGGTACAGCTCAGCAATTGTGGTGCGCACTGTACCATATACTCCACTAGAAACTGTCATTTTGGCAGTTAACTGAACCCCGCTTTCTCTCTCTCTCTCTCTCTCTCTCTCACTTCAGAGTTCTTACTGAGCCTATCTATATATACTTGTGGCTTTACAAATTCAGAGCTATTTAAATTCCTCATACTCTCTTTCTCTCTCTTTCTCTCAAGAACCTGACTCACTGCCTACATTGATTCCTCTGTTTTGGTAAGTATAAATTCAACTTCTCATTGTATGCCAACCCCAAGCTCTGTCACATATTCATTCTAGTACAATTTGAACTATTTAGTTCTTCATATAGTCCCAATAATAACTTTCTTGATTTTGATTTATCTGCGCCTCTGGCTGAAGAAGAGTTGGTGCTTTCGAAGCTGTTTTGAGGATGGATCAAGAACAAGACCCAGATGACCCATGCTACCTCTGCCGCCAATGTGGGTACGACATTACAGACACCGACCAGTTAGTTTCCAAGGTATGATCTCTCTCTCTCTCTCTCTCTCTCTCTCTCTCTCTCTTCTTTGTTTGTTGTGCTTTGGTGCTTAGAATTATGCATCAATTTCTGTACTGCACGTGTTAATAATAACAGAACCATCATAATTCCAATCTAAAGTTGCAAGATTTGCATGTCTTTGTAGTTAAAATTGTTCCAATTTTGAGGGTTTAATTCTTTTTATGATGTTATCAAGAAATGTTTAGTATGAGGCTTGTTGATTATGGTATTACGAGCAATGGGGGGTGTTTCTTGATATTCTTGATACTGATTCTGAATTTTTTGAAGGTTAGGGTTCTTGCATTGAAGTACAATCTGTGTGTGCATTTTGAAACAATATAATTTCTCAGAACTTTCCCATCATTCATGTAACTTTTGTTTTCAATCTGCTTTGCAGGATATAGTGATGGAGGCGGGCATCTTCAAAGATGAGTAAGATCTCATCGTTAATGCAATTTTTATTTTTTTTAAAACTTCTCATTAAAGATTAGTTTTGAATTCTTATTAAAGATTAGTGACAGACATAAATTCTGATCTCTGTTGTAATCATCACAACAAATGCAATTTGGACTAATCTTGATCATCTTTTTGCTAATCTGCATTGCATTTGATTTGGTGGAAACTTTAATACTGTGTTTTGCAGTGACTATAAGGATGATGGTGACCCAGCAGCATATAATTGAATGAAGGGAACAATCTGTAGTGATATTATCTGTGGTGAGTGCAACAGCCTTTTAGGTTGGAGATTTGTAAGAATCACAAACTTTATACCATTTTTTTTTTTTTTGAGATTGTATATTTATGTTTTCTTGCATATTAACTAAAAATCTTCTAACAAAATTATACTATTATATGTTTAGATTAAAGTGCCAGAGGAAACCGATGTACTTAAGACTGGAAGAGTACTAGCGCATTTGTAAGTTTTGAAACAAACAAATACCGCTATAGTTCAACAGTTTTGCTAGGTAATCTTTGTTTTTTGGTTTTTTTTATTTGTTTATTTATTTAACTATTTGTATACTTCAATTTTGAGTTTTTTTTTTTTTTTTTTCTTATGGATTTGATTCAAAATCTGCGATTAGGAACAAGCTCCTGATGTGGGATGGAAGGGAGATGCTGTATCCAGATACACTAATGGTTACATTCAATCAAACAACAGCTGCCCATTTCTTCCTCTGCTGTCAATGTAGTACCCTCCTTGTCTTGGTTAAAGATTTAATGCATCTCATCCCAGTAAGATTCTCTCTCTCCCTCTCTCTGCTTGTTAATAATAACGGAAGTCATCTAAACTTGCAAGATTTGAATGTCTTTGTTGTTAAGATGTTCATATTTTAAGGGTTCAATTCTTTTTATGATGTTATTCAAGAAATGCGATAGTACAGGGCGTTATTTGATTATGAAATTATCAAAAGTTCTTGTTTGTTATACACCTGCATTGAAGAACAATTGTAGACTCATATACTGATTCTGAACTTTTGGAGACCAAGTTTGTAACGCCCTCAAAATAATAACATTAAACTAACCACATTCCTTTATTTCATTGAGTTCCATTACATAAGTATTACATGTTAACATCAAAACAAAATGCCATACAGGCTTAATTTATATGAGCAAAAGTTCTTATGAGCAAATGTTCTTACGGTTTTTGATATTATATCTAAGCGTTGTGTCTAGAGTCAGGATTTGTGGGAGGATTTATAGAAGGAAAAGAAAAGGGAAATGATTTCCCTCTGCCAAACATTCACAAATTCAAGATCCAAATACAACCTAAAGAATGATGAACATGATTCAGTGTGCGCGTTTTGAACCAAGAAAAATCTGTATATCTGTACATAGAAACATGGTTCAGTGTGCCTGTTAAGAATATGGTGATTCATGTTACAGTGGAATGCATTGGTTGAACAAATGTCAGATTACAATGGCTGCAATCCATTTTACCAAACAATTACTATTTGTTATTATATCTACTTGGGATTTATTATTATTATTATTATTATTATTATTATTATTATTATTATTATTATTATTGTTATTATTATTATTATTATTATTATTATTATTATTATTATTATTATTATTATTATTATTATTATTATTATTATTATTATTATTATTATTATTATTATTATTATTATTATTATTATTATTATTATTATTATTATTATTATTATTATTATTATTATTATTATTATTATTATTATTATTATTATTATTATTATTATTATTATTATTATTATTATTATTATTATTATTATTATTATTATTATTATTATTATTATTATTATTATTATTATTATTATTATTATTATTATTATTATTATTATTATTATTATTATTATTATTATTATTATTATTATTATTATTATTATTATTATTATTATTATTATTATTATTATTATTATTATTATTATTATTATTATTATTATTATTATTATTATTATTATTATTATTATTATTATTATTATTATCTCCACTATGCCAGCATATATGCAATATATATTATTTATATACTATATTAACCGCAATTAATACAAAATAATATTTATAAATATAATTTTTTTAATTCAATATAATTTTTGTCAAAAATAAATTATTTACTAAAAAAAAATTAGGCGACTTTTGGCGACTAAAACCATTTTTTAGTCGCTAATTGTATTATTTTGGGCTACTAATTATTTATTTGTCGCTAAAAAAACAAGTTCTCAAATAAAAATCAGCACTTTTGGCGACTAAACAGAAATTTCGTCGCCAAAACCCCCCACTTTCAGCGACTAAAATGGATTTTCGTCGGCAAAACCCCCACTTTCAGCGACTAAATTTTTTTTAGTCGGCAAAACTGCTATAATCAGCGACTAAACCTGTTTTTAGTCGCCAAAACCATACCTTTTCGCTACTAAATTATTTTAGTCGCTAAAAACCGTGACTTTTGGCTTCTAAACAAACTTTAGTCGCTGAAAACCCTATATTAGGCGGCGAAACTTCCTTTTAGTCGCTAAAAACAAGCTGTTCGGCGACTAAACCCTTTTAGTCGCTAAAAACCTGGTTTTCGGCGACAAATTTCAATTTAGTCGCCATTTCATGCACTTTCAGCGACGAAATTTCATGTTTTGGTCGCCATTTCTGTTTTTTGTTGTAGTGAAGTCTGTGTTCTTATTGATGTTTTCATTCTGCTTTTTAGGACATAATGATCAACGCAGGCATCTTTCAAAATGTGTAAGTTATCATCATTAATACAATTCTATGGAACTTCTTTGGTGGGCAGAGATTGCTCTGAATTCTGATTAATGATTAGTGACCAACACAACAAATGCAATTTGGACTTTTATTACTAAGAATTTTAAAGTTCAATGACCGATCTCATCTTCTTCTTGCTAATCTGTGTTGCATTTTCTTTGGTGGCAACTTTAATCCTGTGTTTTGCAGTGTCAACGTGGATGTTGCTGGCGAAGCACATTATCGAGCAGAGGATGCTAACGTGGTTACTGATGTTAACTGTAAAGGTTGCAGGAAGCTTTTGGGTTGGAAATTTGTAAGAAACACAAAGTTTCTACCAATTTTGAGATTCTCTATATATCTATTCTTACATTGACTAAAAATCTTCCAACAAAACTATACCATTATATGTTTAGGTTTTTGTGCCAGTGCAAACCAAGGAAGTTCAGACCGGAAGATTCCTACTGCATTTGTACGTTTTGAAACAAATAAATACCACTAACTCTGTTCACATAGTTTTATTTATTTATTTATATATATATATATACACTTCAATTGAGTTTCTTATCGATTTGATTCAAAATCTGTGAATAGGAAAAAGCTGCTGAGGTGGGATATTAATGATGAACCTGTTGAAAATGCTTGAATAGATAGTGGATAAGACATTCGCAATGACAACTTATGGAGGACTCATATATACATGTAGTATCAAATTCATCCATTTTTTTGTTACTCTTAGAATTCTGATTTGGTGTTTTCTCTAGTTCACGCGATACTCTATATGGAGCAAGGGGCATAAAGTTAATAGTTAATAGTTGTTTTTGGATAGGCGCTTTTTATGCGTTTACTATAATTTTTGTTACAATTGAAAGTTGATTTTAAACCATGTTTGAAGTAGCTTATCTACATATATTTTGCAATTAGCTTTACTTTCAATAATTTGTTCTGTTTTCTTTCTATGCAATTCAATGTAAGGATTTTGGACATGTGTGTTGGATAGAGAAATTAGGGGAATCAGTGAAAAAGTTGCAGACTAAAAGATTAAAATTTCATAAATTGTCTGTTAAATTGCATGACATTAATATTGGAAATGGAAATGGCTACAAGAAATTTGACAACCCTTTAAGGCATGTATATAGCTTCAAATGATGTACTGCTCTTGAAGTTTATATAGTATGAAACATTTGTAGAACAGGTTCCAAATAAAGAGTCCCAAATAAATTTTATACTATTGAATTGTGTTTTTTATGCATTTAAGGTTCTTCTTAGATTTTTCAAAGAATCACATATTGAATTGAGCTTAATAAAACCAATTCAAAAGTTCTAGAAAAAGGCATTGTTCAACTTGAAAGTAAAAAATCTAAAATATAAATAAGAAAATGAGGCAACACATGATCAAACTTGCCTGGGTGTAGACTAAGTTTGCCTTGTTGCCATAGGCATTGGCTCTGGGGGTTTTGGGTATTGTTGTTTCTTCTTCTTCTTCTCTTCTTCTTCTTCTTTTTAAATTTTTTTCTTTTTTGGTGGGTCTGGGAATTTTGGTATTGCTTTTTTAGATGTTTCCTAGGGTTTTGTCATTGCAGTCTTTTTTTTTTTTTATCAAGTTTCGTCATTGCAGTCGATGCTGCTTTTTGTTGGGATTCGGCACTTGGGATGGCTATGTTCTTTGCTTAGCTTGCTTTTGTTCTTTTTTCCAGACCTTATTTGCATAGCCCAAGATCTTAAGAATCTATTTGGACCTTAGATTTTTGGAAGGGCAAAAAGAGAGAGAAAAGTGAATAAGTAGAAGCAATCCGTTTGGTTTAGTTTTTGAAAAGAGTTTTGAAAATTTAAAATTCATTTAATAATGAAGTTTAAAAATAATTTTGAAATGATTTGTATTTTTTTTTTTTTTTTTTTTTTTTTTTGTAGCTGAATAGATGGGAGTGGGAGAGAAAATTTGCTAACCACAAATTTTTTTGATTTTTTAATCCAAATGTTAATTTAAAAACTAAACCAAAGGTTGCCCAAATCTCTTCCTCTTATTTTTGCTTTTGGAATTTTTCCTTCCTCTCTCTTTCATCAGAAATTTGGGATCCAAAGAAGCATGCCCATGACCAAAAATTGAGGTGGGGGAGGAGGAAAAATATCCATCTATTGTTGCTCGATCATCATTCACAATCTAAATAATTTTTTGTGTGCCTAGAAGATTTGGTCCAATTTGACTCCTTTAGAACTTTGTAACTTCAACTGTATTGTGATTTTTTTTAGTAAAGATAATATCCAAGTATATATAATTATTCATTTCATAAAGACATTAAAACCCGACAAATTAACTTGTGAAAAGCCACTCAATAAACTTGCCCATAAACCTATACATTAGCCCACCAAAATCGGAAAATATATATATACACAATGATGGAATCTCTCACCTCACTTTTTATGACAAAATATTATTTCTCAATTATAAAATATGTTATGTGTCAATCTGTGAATTTTATAGTAGATTTTTATAGATATTTTAAATAAAAAAATTTAAAACATTCAAATTTAGAAAAAGTTTAGCCCACCAAAATCGGAAAAATATATATACACAATGATGGAATCTCTCACCTCACTTTTTATGACAAAATATTATTTCTCAATTATAAAATATGTTATGTGTCAATCTGTGAATTTTATAGTAAATTTTTATAGATATTTTAAATAAAAAAATTTAAAACATTCAAATTTAGAAAAAGTTATTTGGTGGGTGCAAAGCCAAGTGTTGCTCTAAGATTCTTGTAATTGGTGAAAAGAGTAAGGATTATAATTGTGTGTTGGGTAAGAGAAAACAGTAAGTGATGGCATTTGGTGATTAGTGATTGGTGGGAGTATTGTCAACCATCTAATAATTTTTCCAACAATGTTACAGACTCTAAAAAAAAACAACTCCACTCACCTATGATTGGTCCAGAAAGAAAAAAAAAATTAAAAAACAAAACATATATGATCGGTCCACTTGATTTTGAGGGTTATGGGGTCCCCAATTTCAGGTTCCAAGCATTTTTTTTTTAATTTTTCTAAATTAGGACCGTGGTCTGCCTGGGCCAAGCTCGCTGACATGGGCTTACATTTTAGGCCCAAGGCGAACCCACTGACGGATTTAAAGAAAGGGGAACTTACTGATAAGTCCCATGTAACAAGTTCAAAACCCAACTAATCCCAAAACAAAATACTTGCACCAATTAGTCCAACACATTTTTAATTGTTACAAAAAAATTCTTTTTTTTTTTTTAATTTATAGACACTATTCACATCTTACTACCGTCGGACTTCCGTTTAACGGTTGCCAGAGACTCACCGGAATGTCTAGAATATTGCCGGAAAAAAAAATAAAAACATGTTATGAAACTGTAAAATTTTACAGTTCTAAAGAATGTTATAAAACTGCAAAATTTTACAGTTTTAAACCATGATTCATTCAACTCGAAAACTGCTTGTTCAGAATTCGAAAATTTTCTCCATTAGAACCGAAAAACAGAAGTGTATAGCAGAGAGAGAAAAAAAAAAAGAAATTGAAGGGGAAAGACGGATGTCTAACCAAATCTGTGTAGATCAAAAGAGATCGAAGGGGAAAGACGGATGTCTAACCAATGTTATGTAGATCTACTCAGATCTGATGTAGATCTGAGTAGATCTATATCAGATCTAAGTAGATCCATTCATCTTCTTCGTCGGAAAATATATCATCTTCTTCGTCGGAGTTGATTTCAATGCGTGGTGGTTATCAATGAACCCCGATCAATGGAGAAAGATATGATCACCGGTGGCCCTCTTCCATGACAAACACGGTGACAGAAAAATGTAGAAAAAAAAACGAGAGAGGAAGGGAAGCAAAAAGCAGAGAGAGAGAGAGGGGAAAGGACTTTTGGGTGTAGTGAAAAAGTTATGGGATTAAATGGAGATCACATGTTTCCCATGGGACCTATGGGTAATTTCCCCTTAAAGAAATAAGTGGAGCTGCAATTGTGGTGCACACTGTACCATATACTCCACACCTCAAACTGTCATTTTGGCGGTTAACTGAACCCTACTCTCTCTCTCTCTCTAACCTCAGTTCTTACTCAGCCTATCTATCTATATATACTTCTGGCTTTACAAATCCCGTTGAGAGCTACTTAAATTCCTCAGTTCTTACTCAGCCTATCTATCAATTCAACTTCTCATTTTGGTCCAACCCATGCTCTGTTTCGTGTTCATTCTAAAATTCAACCTGTTTATTTCTTCATAATCCCAGTAATAACTTTCTTGAATTTGATTACTTGCTCTGGCTGAAGAGTTGGTGCTTTCGAAGCCGTTTGAAGATGTTTCAAGAACCAGGTGTCTGTTTCTACCGCTGCTGCCAATGCAGTACCACCCTTGCATTCACCGACCACTTAGTTTCCAAGGTATGATCTCTCTCTCTCTCTCTCTCTTCTTTGTTTGTTGTGCTTTGGTTGCTTTGAATTATGCACCAGTTTCTGTACTGTGCGTGTTAATAATAACAGATCCATCATAATTCCAATATAAACTTGCAAGATTTGCATGTCTTTGTTGTTAAAGTTGTTCCAATTTTGAGGGTTTATTTCTTTCATGATGTTATCAAGAAATGCTTAGTGGTAATTAAGGCTTGTTGATTATGGTATTACGAGCAATAGGCGATGGGTTTCTTCATATTCTTGATATTGATTAATATTGATTCTGAATTTTTTGGTGGTTAGGGTTGTTGATATTCTTGCGTTCAAGAACAATATGTGTGTGTGTGTTTTGAACCAATATAATTTCTCAAAGTGCTTCAAGATTGTAACTAAACCGCCCATCATCATCTGATAATGTATTCATGAAACTTTTGTTTTCAATCTGCTACAGAACATAGTGATGGAAGCGGCCATCTTAACAGATGTTTAAGATGCTCATCTTTAATGCAATTTTTTTTTAAACTTCTTTTTAACGATTTGTTATGAATTCTTATTAAAGATTAGTCCTAAACACAAATTCTGATCTCTGTTGTAATCAGCAAAACAAATGCAATTTGGATGAATCTTGATCATCATTTTGCTAACCTGCATTGTATTTGATTTGGTGGCAACTTTAATCCTGTGTTTTGCAGTCAGAATGTGACTGCTGCTGGCCCATTTCATTATCAAATTGACGGTAATAACTTGGTTGCTGATGTTACCTGTAACGGTTGCAACAGCCTTTTGGGTTGGAAATATGTAAGAATCACAAAAGTTTTTTTTTTTTTTTTTTGAGATTCTATATTTATCTTTTCCTACAAAATGCTACTATATGTTTAGGTAAGAGTGCCACAGAGAAACTACGCAGTTCAGCCCAGAAGATTCCTATTGCAGTTGTAAGTTTTGAAACAAATAAATACGGCTATTTTTTCTTTTTTTTGCTTAGTGCACAGAAAAGTACAGTCCATGCACCAATTCTGTGCTCTATTTCTTTGTTTTTTAATACTTCAATTTTGATTCTCTTATGGATTTGATTCAAAATCTGCAAGCAGGAACAAGCTTCTGATGTGGGATGGAAAGAACATGCTGTATGCAGATACACGGATGGTTACATACGGATATGGCGGTTCATGTTTCAGGGAATACATTGGTTGAACTAGTGTAAGATTACAATGGCTGCATTCCTTTTTACCAAGCAGTTACTATTTGCTATTCTCAACTTCGTTTTTTTATTTAAAAACAAAAACAACATTGCCTTGAATGAAGATTTTATGATTAGAATCCCAGTAAAATCTCTCTCTCTCTACGCACTAGTTAATAATAACAGAAGTCAGCTAAACTTGCAAGATTTGAATGTCTTTGTTGTTATAGTTGTTCGAATTTTGAGGGTTCAATTCTTTTTATGATGTTATTCAAGAAATGTTGTAGTACAAGGCTTATTTGATTATGAAATTCTCAAACGTTCTTGTTTGTTACAACTACATTCTGAAATTTTTGGGACCAAGATGGATCTGCTTGTGTTTTGAACCAACAATACATAACTTCTCAAAGTTCTTAGAATCCACTGATTCTAATCATGTATTTTTAGGATCCACTGGAATATTTTTGAGGTCATGGTTCTTGATATTATATCCAAGGTTTGTGTTTGGAAGTAGGATTTGTGGAAGGATTTATAGAGGGAAGAGAAAAGGGAAGTGATTTGCCTATTGCAAATCGCTTCACAAATTTAAGATCCAAACACAACCTGGATATACATATACAAATATACAGGTTGCAAGAAAAATCTGTGTATCTATACGTATATATTGCTTTAAGGATATGGCGGTTCATGTTTCAGGGAATACATTGGTTGTGTAAGATTACAATGGCTGCATTCCTTTTTACCAAGCAGTTACTATTTGCTATTCTCAACTTCGTTTTTTTATTTAAAAACAAAAACAAAAACAAACAAAAGAAAAGAAAGCATAATGATCAATGCAGGCATCTTTGAAGAGGTGTAAGTTATCATCATTAATACAATTCTATGAAACTTCTTTGGTGGAAAGAGATAGGTCTGAATTCTGATTAAAGATTAGTGATCATCACAACAAATGCGATTTAGACTTCTATTAACAAGAATTTTAAAATTCAGTGACCGATTTGATCATCTTCTTGCTAATCTGTACAGCATTTTCTTTGGTGGCAACTTTAATCCTGTATTTTTCAGTGTCAATGTGGATGTTGCTGGCAAAGCACATTATCGAATGCAGTGTACTGACACAGTTGCCGATGTTAACAGTAGCGGTTGCAGGAAACTTTTGGGTTGGAAATATGTAAGAATCACAAAGTTTAATCCTACCATTTTTATGAGATTCTCTATATATCTATCCTTACATTGACTAAAAATCTTCTAACAAAATTATACTATTATATGTTTAGATTGAAGTGCCAAAGGAAGAAACCATTTTCCTCAAAACCCGAACTTTCCTGCTGCATTTGTAAGTTTTTCAGTGCATGTATGTTTTTTTGTTTTTTAGAATTCAATTTTGATATTCTTATCGATTTGTTTCAAAATCTGTGAGTAGGAACATGCTCCTGAAGTGGAATGGAACAAATATGCAATGTGGAGATTACATATGGACCGGTTGAAAAATGCTTGAATTGACCGCTAGGAAGACTTTCGCAATGACTGCTGATGGAGGACTCATATACATGTACTATCAAATTCATCCTTCTTTTATTTTTGACTCTTAAAATACGGATTTGGTGTTTTCTCTGTTTCCTGCAATACTCTATACGGAGCAAGAGAGCATAGAACTATTAGTTGTTGTTGTTAGAACAAAAGGGATTGTCTGGTGCATGATTTTTTTCCATGGTTTAGTATAAGCACCCAATACTCAATAATGGGAGCTTTCTATGCATGTATTACAATTTCTATCTTCTTATGATCTATGATGAAAATATGTCTGCTGCTGTTACAATAGAAATCATATTTTAAACTATGTTTGAAGTAGCTTATTTGCATATATTTTGCAATTAACTTTACTTTCTATTATTTGATCTGTTTTCTTTCTATGCCATTTAAAATAAGGATTTTGAGCATGTGTGTTTGGACAGAGGGAAATTAGGGGAATATCAGTGAAAAAATTGCAGAGTAAAAGATTAAAATTCATAGCTTCAAATGAAGTGTACTGCTCTTAAAGTTTATATAGCATGAAACATCTGTAGAACAGTTTCCAAATAAAGAGTCCAAAGAAATTATGGTATTGAATGGAGCTTTTACATATTTGAGATTTTATTTGATTTTCTAGAAGAATCACATTGAGTTGAGCTTAATAAAACCAGTTCAAAAGTTCTTGAAAAGGCATTTATTCAACTTGAAAGTGAAAAAATATAAATAAGAAAATGAGGCAACATATGAGCAAACATGCGTGGGTGTAGGCTGAGTTTGCCTTGTTGCCACAAGCCAATGGGTCATGGGATTTGGTATTGCTGTTTTTTTTTTTTGGGTCTGGGGATTTTGGTGTTGCGTTTTTACCTATTTCTTGGGGTTTTGTCGCTGCAGTTGATGCTATTTATTGGGATACAGCAATTGGGTTGGCTTTGTTTTTTGCCTGTAACGTATCTTTGCTTTGTTTGCTTCTGTTGTTTGTTCAATTGCCTGCAACACCTGTATAAAGATTCCATGTCCAAGACTTTATTTGCATAGCCCAAGTTCTTAAAAGCTCTATTTGGATATTGGATTTGTGGAAAGGTTAAAAACGAAAAAGGGAATAGTGAATGAGTCGAAGCAAAATATTTTTTTTTTCATATTTCCTATTTTCACTTCCTTTTTCTTACCTCACAAATTTGAGATCCAAACATAGGATAAGAGGGAGCATGACCGTGACTAAAAAATTGATGGAGAAAATAAACCCAAAATTAGAGATCTTCTGATAAAAAATTGAGAATATTCTTTGAATTAGTCTCTCTGATTTTGCAAGTAGAAAACAGATGGAACTAAATATTTATGTTGTGTTTGGTTGAGGGATTTGGAAATGAATTTGGAAAGGAAAAAGGAAAAGACATGTGAAACTAAGTGAAATGTAACTATATTTTATTCACATTTCACTTACATTTTCCTTTTTAATTTCTAAATTCCTTTCCAAATTTTTCAACCAAACGCAACGTTAATTTCACTCACCACAATCTCATCCAAAAAAAAAGAGAAAAACAATCACCACAACTTATATGGATCATATGCAGTGCAGATGTGTATAAAGATTTTCAAAATATACATGTATTGATCTTCATTCTTATATAAAATTAAAAAAAAATATATATATATATATATATTTTTGATGGGCCTATAAAATACGTTTTTCACTAAGAAACTGTCTTCTAATAATAGTGTCCTAACCTGAATTTTTTTTCTTTCCAATGAGTGGTCTATGGGCATAGTTTAATAACAAGTTAAAGATAAGAAATGTTTTAAAAACAAATGATAATATTAAAAATGGTTATAAAATCTATGAAAAGTGTTTTGCAATTGATTAATAGTACCTCTTGTTTTTAATTTTTTTTTCTTGAGCCCGGGACAATTGGCCCTTTAATTTATTTGTCAAAAACTCATTTTTAAAAGGAACACTTGTCACTAAATCCCATACATAAAATTCAAAATTCATCTAGTACTAAAATAAAATACTTGCACTAATTAGTTCTATATATTTTTAATTGTCACCAAAAAGATCTTTCTTTTTAAAAAAAAAAAAAAAAAACGCTACTATATTCCATCATCGCCGAACTTTTGTTAGACGGTTACTGGAGGCTCGCTAGAGTGCTCAATATCACCGGCAAGTCGTTGGAGTATCGCCGAAAGTTCGTCGAAATATCGTTGAAGTGTTCTGAACAGAATGTTTGCTGGACGTCAAGAATATCGTTGGAGAGTCACCGGAATGTCCAAAATATTGCCACAAAAAAAAAAATTAATAGAGAAATTAGAACGAAAAAATGTAACAAAATATGCTAAATATTGATAAACTAAAAGGAAAAAAAAAAAACATAATAACAACAAACAGCAACAATGGAAAAAAACATATATTTTTCAATTTTTGTAGGATTTAAGTAAATAATCTCCAATATTGATCAAACTGAAAAATAAGCTTTAAAACAGTAAAATGTTACAGTTTCAAAGCATGATTCTATTAAGCATTTTATCCTTACTAATCAAACTGAAAAACATGTTATAAAACAGTAAAATTTTACAATTCTAAATAATGTTATGAAATTATAAAATTTTACAGTTTTAAAGTATTTTACAATTCTAAATAATGTTATGAAATTATAAAATTTTACAGTTTTAAAGTATGATTCATTTCAGCACCAAAAAAATTAAAATTGTAAAATTTTACAGTTTTCACTGCTTGTATTTAAAACTTGAAAACAACTTATTCAGAATTTGAAAATTTTCTCCATTAAAATAGGAAAATAGAAATGCGTAATAGAGAAAAGGTAAAAAAAATTAAGAGATCAAAGGAGAGAAACAATACAGAGAAGATTATACTCTAGCAACTATTTTTTGTTTAGATCTAATCAAATTTGATATAGATCTACTTAGAGTAGATCTACTCATCTTCTTTGTTGGAAACTCGTCTCTTTCACCGTTGGTGAGGGTGAAATAAGACATCGATGGTTGGTGGTTGCTGATGAATCCCAATCAATGGTGGTTGTCGGTTAAGAGATCAAAGGAGAGAAACAATACAGAGAAGATTATACTTGGAAACTCGTCTCTTTCACCGTTGGTGAGGGTGAAATAAGACATCGATGGTTGGTGGTTGCTGATGAATCCCAATCAATGGTGGTTGTCGGTCGACGGTGACTATAAATCAAAAAGAGAAAGAGAAGAAATAAGGTGTGGTCGTCGGTGGTCGGTCGTTCGTCGTGGGCCGCCAAAAATGAAGAAGAGAAAGAGGAAAAAAAGAACGAAGACACAGAAAAGAACGAAGAAGAAAAATATATAGTGAACTTTTGAAAGTATTCAAAAAATTGTGGAACTAAATAAATTTCTCCTCTTTCAAATAGGATTTCTGAATAATTTGCCCATTTTAAAATTTGTTCAATTGGTTGACACTAAAAGATATCATCTGCCCTAAAGACATGCAATTCAACTAGACGAGTTAAACTAACCCATATCTTGAGCTGGCTAGGCTAATTCAAATAGTGTTTGGATTGAGCCTAGACTATGGGTATTAAAGCTCGACTCCACAAGTGCACTTGTGAACCTAAACATTAGCCCACCAAAATTTTTAAAGTACGTACATGTGAAATATAGCCATGTGAATTAAGGGGGTAATTCTACGAGTACAACTCAGCAATTGTGGTGTGCATTGTACCATGTACTCTCTGTGAATTATGTAGTTTATATTATTCATTAAGGATAGTTTAGTACTTTAGGTTTGTTAAGGTTTGATTCTATTAGATTATATATTTGTACTTGTTTGATTGATCATTCAAGAATAATATACACAAGTTTGTTATCATGGTATCAGAGCCACAACCCAGATGTTAGCATACCTTTCGCAGGTCATCATCAACCATCGCAGTCCCTTTCTCTCTCTTTGCAAGGCCTTGTGGTCTCTGTCCTCTTCGTCACACTTCACTCTTCCTGGTTGTTGGTTCTGAGCCCTAGGTTGCGTGTCTCATCTGGTTGCATCGGAGCCCTAGGTCATCATCGACCATCGCAGCCCTTTATCTGGTTCGATCGATGCTCTCCCCTCATCTGGTTTGATCGAAGCTCTCTAATTCCTCTATGTGACTTGGATTGGTGATCTCCCTACTCTGTTTTGGTTCTCTTTGATTGATATTTATGGTGATAACGTTATTATAAGTTTGACTTAATTGGTTCTATAATTATAGCAATAATAACTTTGATTAGTCATTCTGCTTTGGTTTTACTATATTGCTTAATTACAGCACTATGGCTGATGATAAATTACAAGCTATCACTACTAAGTTAGATGGTACCAATTACTCTTATTGGTCTCATGTAATGAAAATTTTTATAATGGGTAAAGACATATGGATTGTTGGTTCCACTCTTCCTGGTTGTTGGTTCTGAGCCCTAGGTTGCGTGTCTCATCTGGTTGCATCGGAGCCCTAGGTCATCATCGACCATCGCAGCCCTTTATCTGGTTCGATCGAAGCTCTCCCCTCATCTGGTTTGATCGAAGCTCTCTAATTCCTCTATGTGACTTGGATTGGTGATCTCCCTGCTCTGTTTTGGTTCTCTTTGATTGATATTTATGGTGATAACGTTATTATAAGTTTGACTTAATTGGTTCTATAATTATAGCAATAATAACTTTGATTAGTCATTCTGCTTTGGTTTTACTATATTGCTTAATTACAGCACTATGGCTGATGATAAATTACAAGCTATCACTACTAAGTTAGATGGTACCAATTACTCTTATTGGTCTCATGTAATGAAAATTTTTATAATGGGTAAAGACATATGGAACTATGTGATTGGTGTGACTATTAGACCTATGGAATCTCAAGAAACTGAAGCCGATGTTGCTAAATGGGATAAGGAAAATGTAGAAATTCTTACTTGATTTCATAATTCAGTTCAAACTACCATTGGTATGAATTTTTCCAAGTATTCTACTTCTAAACAAGTTTAGGACTATTTGAAAACTATGTACCTTTAGTCTAACTTTGCAAAACAGTATGAAATTGAGATGTCTATTCCCAGTGCTAGTAAAAAAGATAAGTCCATTCAGGAGTTCTACAATGAGATGACGACTTATTGGGATCAACTTGCTGTAAGAGGAGTCAATTTGAGCCTACTAAATTAATTAGGCCCAATAGTCCAGGGTTGATGGGCTCGAATTTATCTCAAGTCCAAGATTGGTGGGCCCGGATTTATCGCCATCAAACGGGCCGAATTGCTCTAAGCCTCGAAAGGGTTCGAATCCACGAACT